AAAAAATAGAGGCCAGGCGCGGTGGCTCACGCCTGTAATTCCAGCACTTTGGGAGTCCGAGGCGGGCAGATCACAAGGTCAGGAAATCGAGACCATCCTGGCTAACAGGGTGAAATCCAGTCTCTACTAAAATGCAAAACATTAGCTGGGCATGGTGGCACACGCCTGTAGTCCTAGCTACTCTGGAGGCCGAGGCATGGGAATTGTTTGAACCGGAGAGGGAGAGGTTGCAGTGAGCAGAGATCGTGTCACTGCGAGCCAGCCTGGTGTCAGAGTGAGACCCCGTCTCAAAAAAAAAAAAAGTCCATATCCTAACCCTTGGTAGCTGTGACTATGACTTTATTTTAAAATTTTATTATTATATTTTGAGCCAAAATCTTGCTCTGTCACTCAGGCCGGAATGCAGTGGGGTGATCCCAGCTCACTGCAACCATGGCCTCCCCAGCTCAAGTGATCCTCCCACCTCGGCCTCCTGAGTAGTTGGGATTACAGTCATGTGCCAGCTAATTTTTGTATTTTTTTGTAGAGACAAGGTTTCACCATGTTGCCTAGGCTGGTCTTGAATTCCTGGGCTCAAGCAGTCTGCTTACCTTGGTCCCCCAAAGTGCTGGGATTATAAGCATGAGCCACTGTGCCTAGGTAAGCTCGAATATTTCAATGTGACCTTGTATTACTAACCTAACCTCTAAGTTTTTGTATCCTCATCAGTAAAATGGAGATTTTATAGATTTTATAGCCATCTCATAAAGTTTTTGAGGATAGTAAATACATATAAAACATTTAACACCGTGCTTGGCATGAAGTCAGCAGGCGACAAAAATTAGCTGCTGCTGAGGGCTGCAGGTTCCTTAAGGGAACTTGCTTTTTCTTTCGCGGATCTGATTACTCTTGTCTTTTTTCCTCTGTAGCCCTGGAGTGGGAAATCCAGGCTGACAAGCTCTATTCCAAACCGTCTTTCCCTCTTCCCTGAGGGGATGGGCAGCGCAGAGCTGCCCCCCTCTTCCTGGAAGGTACTTCCTTCATTGCTTCCCCTTATCTGCCTGGTCCCCTAAAACTGGAGCCACCCCCCAGCTCTCAGCTCAGGATCTCCAGGGAGGGTGGAGGCAGGTCTGTCTGGCTGGCTCCCCTCTTCAAATGGTGCAGTGGGTCTGGCCTGGGAGAGGAGAAGGGTGCCAGTTCAGGGGAGGAGAAAATGAGGGAGGGGCCCCTGGGGAGGCAGCAGGGAGTATCTGTCCTCTGAGCAAGGACAAAGGGGTGATCAGGAGGGAAGAGGGAAAGAAATGCATCCACAGGGCAGTTTAGAAGGCTGAGGGAGGCCAGGCATGGTGGCTCACGCCTGTAATCCCAGCACTTTGGGAGGCCAATTTGGGAGGATCACTTGAGCACATGAGTTCAAGACCAGCCTGGACAATATAGTAAGATCTGGTCTCTGTATAAAAAAAAAAAAAAAAAAAAAACAAAACCCTTCATGGTGCATGCATTTGTAGTCCCCGCTACTGGGGAGGCTGAAGGGAGAGAATCACTTCATTCCAGGAGCTGGAGGCTGCAGTAAGCTACAGTTATGCCATTGCACTCTAGCCTGAGCAACAGAGCAAGACCCTGTCTTAAAAAAAAAATGCTGAGGGAAAGAAGGGCAGCTGGATACACGCCATGGCTTGCTTCCCTTCATCTCTTGGGTGTGATGGCTCCATGTATACATCACCACCTGCTCCCCTCCTGTTGGTGACAGGTGACAACAGGATGGGAAAACCCAACAGCCACTTGCATGCTGCCCTTGTAAAACCCCCACGCTGTTCAGTTGAGGCAGTAGGCACAGCAGTTTGGGGCCCAGCCCTGGGCTTGCCACATCACATTTTTTTTTTTTCGAGACAGAGTCTGGCTCTGCCGCCCAGGCTAGAGTGCAGTGGTGTGGTCTAGGTTCACTGCAACCTCCGCCTCCTGGGTTCAAGCAATTCCTGTACCTCAGCCTCCAGAGTAGCTGGGCTTACAGGTGCACACCACCACGCCCCGCTAGTTTTTGTGTTTTTAGTAGAAATGAGGTTTCACCATGTTGGCCAGGCTGGTCTCCAACTCCTGGGCTCAAGTGATCCTCCTGCCTCAGCCTCCCAAAGTGCTGGGATTACAGGTGTGAGTCACTGCACCCGGCCCCGCATCACACTTACCTCACCTCCTGAGTTTGAGGGAAGTTGTTCCCCATGAGGACAATGGGGGAAGGAGTTTTGGAGGGAAGCCTGCATTTCTCCTCAGCTCCAGCTGAGTCCTGAATCTACTTCCCCAGGAAGACTTTGGAAGCTTTTCCACAGACTCAGGTCGGGTGGGCTAGTGGAATTGGGGTCCACAGAGCTACCTTTTTTGTCTGGAGATGGGAGAGTGAGGAAGCCAGCAAGAAACCCTTCAAAGATTCAGGAGCATTTTCCTCTCCGATTTTGGAAGTTACTCAGGCTGCTAGTGCAAGAAGGGGTGGGTGGGGTTGGCAGTGTGAGGTGAAGGAAGGTACCCTAGAGGTGTCCCTTTGATCAAGACCCACCATCCTGTTTCTAGGCTTCCAATATCTGAGCTTGGACAGCAGTTCTCAAGTTCAGAATGGAAATTACTAAATCTGGAGAGAGCTGGGTAGTGCATGGGAAGTTTGAAAAAAACATTATCATTTTGCATTTTTTTTTTTTTTAGACCGAGTCTCCTCTGTTGCCCAGGCTGGAGTTTAGCAGCGCGATCTTGGCTCACTGCAACCTCCACCTTCCAGGTTCAAGTGATTATCCTGCCTCAGTCTCCCGAGTAGCTAGGATTACAGGCACCCAACACTATACCCAGCTAACTTTTTGTATTTTTAGTAGAAACCAGGTTTCACCATGTTGGCCAGGATGGTATTGAACTCCTGACTTTGTGATTTGCCTACCTAGGCCTCCCAAAATGTTGGGATTACAGGCGTGAGCCACCGCCCCTGATGCTTTTTTTTTTTTGACAGAGTCTCGCTCTGTCACCCAGGTTGGACTGCAGTGGTGCCATCTCAGCTCACTGCAACCTCCACTTACCGGGTTCAAGTGATCCTCCCACTTCAGCCTCCCAAGTAGCTAGGATTATAGGAGTGCGTCACCATGCCTAATTTTTTTGTATTTTTAGTAGAGACCAGGTTTCACCATGTTGGCCAGGCTGGTCTCAAACTCTTGACCTCATGTGATCTGCCTGCCTCAGCCTCCCAATGTGCTGGGATTACAGGCGTGAGCCACGGCACACGGCCTATCATTTTGCATTGAGGAAAACAGAAGACCCAACAGAGCGACGGCACCTCCAGAACAAGAGGGAGGCTGGTGCAGTCTGGGTGATGAGGACCCCTCCAGAAGACGAGCCCCTCTATGTACTAAGGAAGAATGGGAGTGGTGAGGCTTTTCATGTATATGGAAGAGAGATGTGGGGATTATCAGCTTGTAAAACACCAGGAGATGGCCCTCTTGTCATTCCTGTGACTGACCTATGTCATCAATGGGTGGCTCCCCAAGGACATGTCAGCTTCCCCATCCTTCATGGCCCCTCAGGGTGTCAGTCCGGCCCTGGACTCCCTGCAATGGCTTCTCATTGCACTGAGGAGGCCCGAGCTCTCCCTGCAGGTCCCTTGGGAGCTGTCATCCACCCTCTGCCCCGGCTGCTCCCTGGGCCTGCACTGGTCTTCCCCATTGGTTCCTCCTCAGCCTTCTGGTTTCAGCTTCATCATCACCCCTCCAGCAGCGCCCTGACCATCCTCAATTAGCATTTCTCAATCTTTTTTTCCCATGATCGCCCCCCCTTCCCACCTCAAAGAGCCTATTTAGACATTTTCTCCCAATTGCCAATTCCTCCCCCAGGAATTCTAGTGACACTGTATATCTCTTCATGTGCTGTATTTATATATCGAGATATGATTATGTAAGTCTTTTTTGTTTTTTTAGACAGGATCTTGCTCTGCTACCCAAGCCGAGTGCAGTGGTGTGATCATAGGTCACTGCAGCTTCGACCTCCCAGGCTCACCATCCTCCCACCTCAGCCTCCTGAGCAGCTGGGATTACAAGTGCACACCACCATGCTCTGCTACATTTTTGCAGAGAGAGGGTCTTGCTGTGTTGCTCAAGCTGGTCTCAAACTTCTGAGCTCAAGTGATACATTTTGGCCTCCCAAAGAGCTGGGATTACAGGCATGAGCCACTGCACCAGGCCTATTTTTTTGTTTTTTTAGATAGTCTCACTCTGTCACCCAGGCTGGAGTGCAGTGGTGCGATCTTGGCTCACTGCAACCTCTGCCTCCCTGGTTCAAGCGATTCTTCTGCCTCAGCCTCCCAAGTAGCTGGGACTACAGGCACATGCCACCACACCTGGCTAATTTTTTTTTTTTTTTTGTATTTTTAGTAGAAACAGGATTTCACTATCTTAGCCAGGATGGTCTTGAACTGCTGACCTCATGATCCACCCACCTCAGCCTCCCAAAGTGCTGGGATTACAGGCATGAGCCACCATGCTGGGCCGATTTTTTTTTTTAAACTTGGTTCACCCTGTTGAGTTCATGTGCTCTAGCTGAGGTAGCACTGCCCTCCTGCCCTGATTTTTCCATCATGCTATCTTTTGTTTGTATATTTTGGGTGGATCTCCCCACACCAGAATGTAAACTCCAAGGGAAGAGGAGCCCTGCCGAGTTGTTCACCATGTATCCCTAGCTGGCTCGCAATAAATATAGATACTTCTGCCTAGGCCTGCTATTTGGCGCTGTTCTGTCTCGGGGAAGTGGGACCCAGGATGCTACCCTCTCCCAAGGCTGGGCGTGATGCAAGGCAGGTGTGTGAGATACACAGAGATGGGCCATTTCTGCTTTTAGAATACTGGTGCATTTTTTATTAAAGAAGAGAATAAAGCATTTGTAAATATATTTCTCTCATGTATACTTCGAAGGTGACGCTGGTCTGCCACTACAGAGCTGGGGAGCAAACAGGCTGGAGCTCTTTCCCCACCCTTCCACATTCCTCTCTCCCAGAAAACAGACACATGGAGGGCAGGGAGCTGCCTAGCCCCAAAGACAAAAGTTTCCAAGTTGCATGTACAGAGGGACGCAGTCACCACCAGCTCCCATCGCAGTGCCACCCAGAAAGCAGGTGGTGTTTCCAGGAGGTCAGGGATGCTTGGTAAGAAAACCCCTTTACCCATTAGAAATAAATAAGGCATGAAGGTTTCCACTGGGCTCCCCGTGCAGAGGCCAGGGCCCCCGCCTTCCGCTGACTGTATGGCTCCTCTGGTTTCTAGGGTCTTAGGAAGGGTGGCAGAAGGAACTAGAAGCCCTGGAGGACTGCTTAGGGCAAGCTGGGGACCTGGGTGTCTCTAAGCTGAACGTTGACTCTCTGACATCTTGAAGCAAAACCCCTGACCCAGCTGGGTCCTCAAAAGCCCCCCAAAAAGGTGGGAGGTTAAGAGCAGGCAATATATGGGAGGAAGGGAGGGAGGGAACATGTTCCTTAACCCCATCCCAATTAAACACGATGCAGCATGGGGTGAAAATCCCAGTCCCCAGTGAAGGGGAGGCAGGAGTGGACACGGACCACTGGCCGGTAGTGCAGGTCCAGAACATTCTGGGGGCTGCAGACATGACCTGTGCCAGGGTTGGCCTGTGGGGAGTGTGCAGTGAATGAGACATCATGGTCCCTGAGATGGGGCAAGCACAGAGAGGAGAGGCAGAGGCCAAGCTCGGTTAGTTGGAGGCGGTATGAAGGGATGGGGGCACCCCACTGTCCTGGCCCTTGGAAGGCTTAAAGCCTGGCAGGGATTTCTGGGGCTGGAAGCCGAGGAGGCCGGCTCTGAGGGACACAGTGCACTGCTCTGTGGAGGGGCTCCTTCTCCTCCTCCTCTGATTAGCTACAGATCTGCGGTGGGCCCAGGGTATCCAGGGAGAAGCCTGTCCTTGGCAGGGCTGGGTCAGGGACACTCTGGGCCCAGCTGAGGCTTCCTGCTCTGCATGACAGGGGACATGTCTGACCTGGTCAGGACCCTGGGGGTGGACAGCTGGTGCTAAGGAAATATCAGCGCATCAGGGCTGGGGAGAAGCAGTAGGTGGTCCAGGAAACCCCTGAAACAGCTGGCCCTGGGGTCCCCTTTCAAGTGTTTCCAGTTGTGGCAAGGGGTCAAGGAGACCTTGCATTGCAAATCTCTTAGAAAAAACAAACGTAACCAAAAAATTTAAAAAAGCCAACTGATCCAGAATGGCTTTCAGAAGCCTGGTCACCAGCTTGAAGGTGAGGCGCAGGGTCAGGAAGCTGGGGGCTGGGGGAGCTGGGGGATCCCTGGGGGAGTGGGGACATTTGGCTTTGAACTCTGAGCTGCGCCTTTGGGCTGGCGCGAGGTGGCCAAGGGCTCCTGGGAGGCAGGACAGGTGGACTGCCTCTACTCAGCAGGGAACATGCTGTGCTTCCGGATCAGGGGGCGGCGTGCTGCGGTGGCCGGGTGCTGGATCTCTGGAGGTTGCACCGTCCAGGCCTGAGGGACCCACAGCCTCCACCCTGAGGGAGGCTGCAGGCCGGGCAAGGGTCACTTGCTGCTGTGCGTCTTGACTTTGGTGGCGTTGATGTCAGCCTTGGTCTTCTGGATCCTGGAGAAGATCTCCTTGAAGAGTGCCTTGTACTCTGGCTGGCTCTGCTCCAGCCGCTTGTCCACGGCCTCCACGTGCTGGCTCAGGCTCTTCTCGCCCACCTTGGCCTCTCCCTGGCCCTCTTCACCCCCCCGCAGGTCCCTCCACGAGCTGTCCCGGGAGATGGGGCGCGAGGTCTGCACGCCGGCGTGCCGCACCCCGGCCCCGTGCTGCCGGCACTTGCTCAGCAGCTCCTCGTACTTCTCCAGCAGCGCGTGGTACTGCTCGTCCACCTCCCGCAGGATGGACATGCCCCGCTTGCGCACGCTGTTGGCGTGCAGTGTGAGGTTGCCTGCATGCCGGCTGGCTGGGTCTTTGGCCACGATGGCGTTGAGCGCGGTGTCGCTGCAGCTCTTGCGCACCACGTGGCCTGGGGAGGCGGCCGGCGAGGAGACGCCGTCCTGGGCACCCGAGTCGTCCCCGCGGCCGGGCTGGGGATCGTCGGCCTCAGGGGCCTGCGTGAGGGGTGCGAGCAGGGCCTCGGCCAGGTGGTCGTCCGGGCCCAGCAGGTAGGTCTTGGCCTGCTTCATCTGCTGCAGCTCCAGCAGCTCGGCCTCCAGCTCCTGCACGCGCAGGCGACAGGCCTCCTTCTCGCACAGTTGCCGCTCCAGCTCCGAGTACTCCTGCAGCACCGCTGTGTACTCCCGCTCCGCCCGCTCCTTGCGCTGCCGCTCCTGGCTCACCTGGGAGCGCAGCGCCCCCACCAGGGTTTGCAGCCGCTCGTTCTCCTGCTCCAGGGGTCGAGGGCCCAGCTCCAGGGAGGAACTGTGCAGGCGGAAAGCATCCTTGCACCTGGTGGGGAGCCAAGGCGGGTGGGGTCGGAGGAGACGGCAGTGGTCACGGCCAAGGCCAAGCAGCCCAGCCAGGGCGCTTACTTCGCTCTTGTTCTCTGGGCTGAAATACTGTTTGCTCCTCTCCGCTGGCTCTCCACTCTCCTCAGCCCTTCTCCCTCTGCTCTCTGCCCCAAGAGGCTGACCACTACGGACCGCCTCTGCCAGGTCCCCTCCTTCTTTCCTGAGCTTGGTCCATGGGAGGGGAGGCACTGCCTAGAGGTCCGAGGGGGAAGCAGAGGCCGTGGGGTGTATTCTCCCTGGGCTCTCCATGCTTAATGGTGGCCAGGCAACCCTCTCCATGCCATCTAGGTGCTGGTAGCCTCCCTTCTCCCTTGCTCTTTGAGGCCTAGGGCTGGTAGCAGGTCCTCCCTGCTGCAACCGCCGGGCGCTAGAGTCTCTCAGTGGTTTCCCTGCACCCTGCCCACACCTCTTCTTCGTTTAACTTCTCCATTACTCTGTGTAAGGGACTGTTTCCTGCCAGGACCCTTATTGAAACACCCACTACATAGGTAACAGGTATTTTTCCATTATTAAGTGGTTATCTGGTCTTAGGTTTAATGGGAAACGAAAAGCACAGTGGAGTTACCCTTCCTGGGTTAACATCCTGGCTGTACCTCTAAAACAGGTGACCTTGGATAAGACACATAGCCTCTGAGCTTCAATTTTCTCATCTGGAGAATAGGCATAATAAAACATCCCTGACAGTGTTACAATAAGAATTCAGTCAGCACAGTGGCAGCACACAGCCAGTGCTCAGTAAACGCCAGCTGCTATGACTATCATTAGCAACAGGACCAGTCTCCCTGATGGCCTGGATGATGCACCAACTCTCATTTCCCCTGCTGCCTGTGGCCTCCCCTTCCTCCCCTGGCTGGCAATCCCATAGACACGAAGCAGCACTCTCACCTACCGGGGGCTGGTGCACAGCTCTTTGAGGCAGGGGAAGGTATGGATGGTACGCCTGCGTTCCCGCTTCTCCCGGAGCACTCGCAGCTGCTCCAGGCTCCTCAGTTGCTCCACCTGGGCCTGCAGCTCTTCCACCTGAGCCTGGAGGCACTCAATGGTCTCTGTCAGCCTGGGGATGAGGAGGTGGACACATAAACGAGGGACTTTAAGGGGATGGGGTCAGTGTGCCTCACTGCAGCCCTGGCTCCCTGAAGACGGAGGGATGTGGGGTAGGGGACAGACAGGTACCCTTGACCTGCTGTCTGAGGTAGGGTGGGGAATTCTCTGCATGCCCAAGGACCCGCCCTTCTTTTATACTTACCAGGCGAGCTGATCACATCTCCTCTGTGCCACCTCAGTTCCTTGTCACTCCTCTATCACTTATTGTCCTGCACTGTCATAAAATATTTACATGCCGGCTGGGCGAGGTGGCCCACACCTGTAATCCCAGCACTTTGGGAGGCCGAGGTGGGCTGATCACCTGAGATTGGGAGTTGAGACCAGCCTGACCAACATGGAGAAACCCCGTCTCTACTAAAAATACAAAATTAGCCAGGTGTAGCGGCGCATGCCTGTAATCTCAGCCACTCGGGAGGCTGAGGCAGGAGAATTGCTTGAACCTGGGAGGTTTACGTGAGCTGAGATCATGCCATTGCACTCCAGCCTGGGCAACAAGAACAAAACTCCATCTCAAAAAAAAAAAAAAAAAAAAAAAAATTGACATGCCTGCTTTCTAGTCCAGGCTGTGAGCTCTTACAGTGCAGGACGATGCCTTTGTTTCCCCATTGTTGCATCCCCAGTGTCTAAAACAGAGCCTGGTGCATAGTTGGTGCTTAAAGCAAGGTTGTGCCCTGAATGTTAAATCACACAAAATCAACAAGGGCAAGCTGACTTCCATCCCAGGTTACTAGGGAGAAATGCATGAGTCACACCCACCAGCCCACAGGCCCATGTGTTCACCCAGCTCTGGGCTCTCCCTTGCCCGGCCCCCAGCCCTCAGCTGGGCCCTCACCCGTGGATCTTCTGCTGGGCAGCCTTACTCTCCAGCACCAGCTTGTGGTTGGTCAGCTCCAGGTCCCGGGCTGTCAGGTCCAGCTGCTCATAGACTTTGGCGTGCTGCTCGTTCACGTGCCGCAGCGTGTCCAGCTGCTTGGTTAGATACTGGGGATGGGAGGACATTGAGTAACCTTTTAGGATTGGGCAGGGGCAAATGTCTCTGCCTAGACCCTCCTCCTACTTCTTTTTTGTCTTTTTTCTTTTCTTTCTTTTTTTTTTTTTTGAGACAGAGCCTTGCTCCGATGCCCAGGCTGGAGTGCAGTGACACGGTCTCGGCTCACTGCAACCTCTGCCTCCCAGGTTCAAGTGATTTTCATGCCTCAGCCTCCTGAGTAGCTGGAACTATAGGTGTCTGCCACCATGCCTGGCCAATTTTTGTATTTTTAGTAGAGACAGGGTTTCACCATATTAACTAGGTTGGTATTGAGCTGCTGATCTCCAGTGATCTGCCCACCTCTGCCTCCCAAAGTGCTGGGATTACAGGCAAGAGCCACCACGCTGGCCTCTTTTTTTTTTTTAACTTTTAAATTCTTTTATAGGCTGTGAGCGGATGCCTGTAATCCCAGCACTTAGGGAGGTGGAGGCGGGTGGATCACAAGGTCAGGAGATCTAGACCATCCTGGCCAACATGGTGAAATGCTGTCTCCAGAAAATACAAAAATTAGCTGGGCGTGGTGGCGGGTACATGTAGTCCCAGCTACTTGGGAGGCTGAGGCAGGAGAATTGCTTGAACCCGGGAGATGGAAGTTGCAGTGAGCCGAGATTGCGCCACTGCACTCCAGCCTCAGCAACACAGGGAGACTCTGTCTAAAAAAA